AAAAAAAAAAACAATAACAACTTTTCCCATATCATTGTTTTGAAGTATTTTACCAATGTTGTATATATATATTCAATAAATTAAAATATATATTCAATTTGTAACTTGCTTTCCAAATATTTTTAATGGAAAAAATGTACAATAATTTCCCTTTATTTTCTTCTATTGACATTTATATTATTTCCAAATTAAATTATTATAAAGAATACTGCTCTAAATACTTTATAAATAGTTCATAAAGCTGTTTCATATTTTACATTATTTCCTTATGATAGAATTTCAGAAGTAGAATTAATGGGTTAAAGGGTATGAATATTTGGGGATTATTGATATGAATTGACAAAGTATGTTTCAAAATAGTTCAGTTGTAGAAGTTACATGCTTACAAACCAGGCATAAGAACAATTTCTCAATATACTTAAAAATATTCATCAAGACAAAGCAAAAATTAGACAATCTAACAAGTTAAATTATATTATCTTAATTTACATTATTTGACTGCAAGAGACATTACTCAATTTTTAAAATGTTTATTTGTCACTTATTTTTCTCGGTCACAAATATAAAACATTAAACTACAAAGCTCTTCTAGAAATAGATGTAAATATTTATCCTATCTCTGAAGAGCAGAATTCTATTTAACAGCAATTATGAATAGATAAAAATGTAAAATTTATGATAATCAAAGAAACATCATTAAAGGATGAGTAACTGTATAAAATATTTGTAGCAACTATGACCAAAGGTTACTGGTTTTCTCATACTATTCAAGAGGAGAAAAAACAGGAAGATATTTATGGTACATTCTAAAGGATAAATATGTGTTCACGACAGATGTGATATGAATGTCTGGTATCTCTTGCAGTGTGACCAAGAAACAAAGTTTTGGGGTTTTCTCCTGTGTCCCTGTGAGTTAAGAACCAAAGCTCAACAAAATATCTATAAACTGCAGAACCTCAGCAACCTTTCAGAGACCTCACACGGCATGTCTTAGAATGAAGTATTGATGGAAGGTACAGCCAGAGTTCAGTGGGAAAAAACTCAAGGATAATGAAAAGAAATAACAGCATCTGAGAAAAAGATCAGCAAAGAGTTTTCAATTTTCATTCTAAATCTAATGAAGATGTAATAAATCTGAGTTTCATGATAAGTCTCCCTGCACACACACACACACACACACACACACACACACACACACACATGCACACACAGACAGACACACACATACTGACACCAACCTAATTTCTTTTTTGAAAGGGTCTAGAAAGCTGGTAATTTCACATTTTCAGATTCAAGAGGACCTTAATTAGATAGAAGTTTGTAAAACGGTACTATTTAAATTATATCCTCCACTGTAGGCCAGATCTGGGTTCCTGACCCTGATGTCTTGGCTTTTATCGGTTAGAGGCACCTGACAGAAGAGCCACTACCTGTGCCCCTGTTAGTGGGCCATGAGGCCATCTCCCAGAAAGGCGCTATCTTCCTGGCTTTTTCAAAAGGCATTTGTGAGCCATGTCTGGGGTTACCTTCTGTGGGTCATGCAGGCCAATCCATACAGGCTGGGTTCTTTGATAGCCGAGTATGTACTCTGCTATGACGCTGGCTTCCTTTAGATTCAGGATAGATGCCAAGTGGGCTCCGTTTCCATAAGACTGACACTCAAGCTGCACACAAGGAGAGGTCCCATTAATGATGCCTTGACGTTCCAAAGCACAGCCCTCTCCTTGGAGCCTTAGTGTGCCAAGCAGAAGGGACTCACATAGACCCCTCTTACTCCTCCAGCAACTAAGACCTAAATCCCACAGGAGACTCCTGCCACCACGGGAAAAAACAATGCCACAGAGTCAGGTCTGTGAGGAACAGGCAGTGCAAGGTGAAGGCAAGAGATTTAGGGTCAGAGGAAGTGCCTGATGACCTGGTCTTGCCTCTTGTTAGTGCTTGTGACCTTGACAAGTCTCTTCACCTCTCTGAGGTTCAGTTTCCTCAAAATTGCAGTTTGGGAAATTCCTTTGCTTAATGTTCT